AGGAGGACTCTGAGCAGGGCTCTTGGGAGGCCTCGGGACTGTGGGGGCCAGAGAGGACTGGGGTCTTGCTCTTGGTAAGACAGACCTCCCCCAGGACTGGCTCCTGATACGCTGCCTGTCTCAGCCCCTGCCTCCTGGCTTTGGAGAACCTGATCCCTCTGGGAGCAGTGGAGGGTCTTGTGAAGGGTCACACAGACGAGGGGGTCTCTGGGCAGGGTCCTGGAGGCTCCCCTGGGTTCTCCCATCTTTCCTGCCAGTGATCTGGGACAAGTTAGGGGCAGCGCAGCCTCTCCCAGGTGGTGGGCTCAGTGTGGGGTTTGCCCCCTTTTGTTTTTCCCACTCCCAGACAGGTCCCAAGGAGCCTGTTCCTGTCCTTGCCCCTCACCCCGACCAGGTTGGGGTCATCAGGAGGGGCAGACAGGGACCTCAGGCACTGGCATACCTGGAAGAGAAGGTCCCAGAGATGGGGAGCGTGGCCCTGTGGAGGAGAGCCCTGGGGAGGCTTCCTGAGGCCAGGGCTGGGTCTTGGTCCACCTGGGGCTAGGTGAGAGTCTGGAAGACTGTCTCTTCTTGTGTCTGGTGTCAGCCTTATTCCCTAAGTGAGGTGTGATAGTAGCCAATTCCCGACACCCATTCTTTGGGTATTTTTTGTGGGAGGACTGGGCCTCAAGCCTCATGATCCCCAGAGTCTGGTAGGATGTGGCCTAGCCTTGAAAGTGAGTGCTGTGTGATGTCAAGGGCACTTGCAGGGGGTAGGGGAGCAACAAGGAGGAGTCATTTCCTGGGGGTAGAGGAAGCCCGCAGTCCCTGGAGCCGTCTTCCACTCTCTGCCTAGGCAACAAGCCCAGAGTCCGGAGTATCCGCTTTGCAGCAGGCCATGATGCGGAGGGCTCCCAGAGCCACGTCCACTTCGATGACAAGCTGCATGACTCGGTGGTCATGGTCACCCAGGAGAGTGACGGCAGCTTTCTGGTTAAGGTATGTGCACGGCTCCCCTCCCCCATTAGTCTTACTTCCTCCACCTCCTTCTCAGCCCTGCTTGGCTTCCTGGGCCTGTCAGTTCCACATCCTCTAAGTTGAGGCCTGGGTTCAGGTCCAGGTCTGCTAGTCAGGCTCCGTGACCTTGGGCAGTTCACCTCAGCTTCCTGTTCTCTGAAATGAAGACAATTCACATCCCATAGAGTTGGTTCGAGAATAAAATGGAAGAATGTATTTATGTTACACAATTGGGAGACTAATTATGCTAATAACAAGGTATGACTTTATTTTCCTTTTTTGCCAAACCGCTGGCTAATTCAGCCCCATATTTTCTGCTCTTTGGAGCACACCTTCTCCTATTGCTCACACTTCACACACCCTCCAGTGTGGCTTCTCCAGCTCTTGGGACACTGTTGGATCCCACATCCACTTGGGAGGGGCAGGAGAAACTCTCTGAAGGGAATGGATTGGGGGAAACAGAGAGTGACGCCCTCAGGTTGGACAATAAACCAGGGCTCCAAAGTTGAGCAGGAATGCCAGGGGAGGGGGGCATCTGTTCCACCGAGACCACCCTGAGGAGGGGCCCAGATTCATACCCATCTCTGCCCAATCCTTGCTCTTTCTCCTAGGACAACTTCCCCAAGGGAATAAACAGAATGAAATAAAACTTAAAAAAATAGCCCTGGCTGGTTTGGGTTCACATCGATGTTTCTATCTTTCTCCCCTCCTACCCCCCTTCCACTCTGCCTGAAAATCAGTGGAAAAAATATCCTCGGGTGAAGATTTGAAAAAAATCTCTCCCTCTCCTCCACTCCCCATTGCAAAATCTATTCATGTCTATTACAGAAACTTTGGAAGATAGAGAAAACTATAAAGAAATTTAAAAGTACCCACAATTTTAGAATCTAGAAATAACAATGGTTAATATTTTGATGTGTGCCATTCTAGTTTTTTTTTAATAGCTTTGTTTCCATAAACAAAAAGCTGGTATCACAGTGTAACACTGTTTTTTGCTTGCTTCTGTTGTGAACCGTCTCTGCCTCTATCAGTAAATCATTTTCCACGAGATTCTACAGCTGTATTCCATTATATGTATCATCGTTGATTTAGCTGACTCCCTATTCCTGGTGTTACTGCTGTTTCTATTTCTTACTGTTAGAAAGAGGGCAGTGATGAGTATTTTTTTGCACATCTCTGAGTATTTCCCCTGGAAAATTCTGCAAGTGGTGCAGCTGCATCACAGGGTCATCCTTGGCAGGCCCAGCCAGAAAGCTCTCTTGAGAAGTGTGTCCGCCACCTGCAGAGTGCGGGAGCCACACGGACTGAGCTTTATCATGCAGTGGCATCAGCCTGATCCCATTGAAAAGCTAAATGTTCCATGCAGCCAACCCCAACTGGCCCCCAGGGACAGGGCCCTCCGGCCCCTGAAAGCATGAACAGAAGAGAGTGTGTGCATGTGAGCTGTGGGTACAGCTGCACCTCTGTGCCTCCTGGACTGGCACTCGGTCAGCCTGCCTGCTCAGCAGCCACCCTGGCTGGTGACCCTTCATACGGCTGGAGTTTCCAAGGATGGCATCTATCCCAGAGGGCATCGGTTGCCAAGCACTGTATGAACAACAGAAATTGCTTGGACCCTGAGTCGAGCCTGTTGGACACAGTGAGCCTTTGAGTGGGCAGGCAGGCATCCATGTTCAGATGCCAGCAGGCAGGCAGGAGCCTGGGTTCAATGGCTGGTGCCAGGTCTGTGGGCCAGCTCTGGACTGACACAGCTGGTCTCGTGTCAGTTTCTAATTCTAAGCCAGCCTTCATTCTGTGCAATTTGTGTTGCCCCATGCCTCCACATGAGTGACTGGAGGACCAGTGTCCCTGACCCAGGGCTGTTGGCTCTGGGCAGGCGATAGTAGTGATGGGGGCAGGTGGATGGCCCCTTCTGGGCAGTGGCTGGTACCTTGCTCTGTGCTACTTATGGTAAGTGTGGCCAAGAGGCCTGTAGCCTGTCATTTCCCAGCTTCCATTTCCTTGTCTATAAAATGGGCCACTGAGGAGCTGTGGGGCCCATGAGACAGATGCTGAGGAGTGTGTGGCCCAGCTGTGAGGTGAGGTCCTCGGGGAAAGACCTGGAGTCACCAGGCTTGGGGTGTGGACCAGCTGGAGTGGAGGGGGCAGATAGACCCCCTAGGATCCCCAAGGAAACAGGTGCAAAGGCCCACAGGATCATAGATGGCATGGGCCCTGGGGGAGGCTGTAAGTGAAGGTGCTTCCTTCCTCCACCCTTCCTGCTGCAGGTTGGCTTCCTGAAGATCCTGCACAGGTATGAGATTACCTTCACTCTGCCCTCGGTGCAAAGGCTGAGCAAGGACGTCCGAGAGGCACCTGTCCCCAGCCTGCACCTCAAGCTCCTCAGCATCATGCCTGTCCCAGAAGGTGCGTCCTCTGCTCAGGGTGCTGGAGGCTCGCCTTCCTCCATCAGGGCCTGGGTGTGAATGGGAGTGAGAACATGGGATGCTCTTTTCCCCCCACGTAGTGGGGACAGGCAACTCAGCAGCTGGGAACATGACGCCTTCTATATGGGCTTACAGTGTGGCAACTTGGCAGGTCCCTTGCCCCAGGCCTCACTCCCTGGACAGAAGCCCATGGGCTCACACTGTTGGCCTATGTCTGCCCCACTGCCTGATAGTTCAATCAGTGGGATGATGGGAGCCACTGAAGAACTGGCTCTGGACCTTCAGACCTCCCTCCCTCATGTCCCTCAAGAGAAACCTGCTGGAGCCTTAGGAACTTCAAGGCTCCCTCCTAGCCCCCACCTGGGCTTCGGGCTGGGGGCTGCCTCTCCCCACCCTGCTAGCTTCAGCCCCCACCCTCTCCATAGGCTAGGGCGTCAGTTTCACTGTGTGCTGAAGCCCCAGCTTCAGTCACATGTCCCCCCACCTCCTCATGACCTTACCCTTAAGTGGATTGAGCAAACTTCCTCAGGCCTTTGCCTCTTGCCACCTAATCGGCTCAAGTCCTGGCCTGCCTACCCCCACTTTCCAATCACTCCCTCTCCTTGCCTGCCTTTTTGGGGAATCAGCAGTTCCTCCTCCTGGAAGTTTGACCCTTGGAGCCTTAATGGGGTGGTCACAGGCCTGAGGCATGTAGAGTTCATTGAAGAATGGGAAATTTCTCACGCCTGTGCCCCAGCCTCAGGGGCACAGGTCCTAGACTATCCTTGCTCCTCTGGAGGAGGGAGCCAATGAGTGCTGGGGGGCAGGGGCTGGAGGCCATGGAGTTGCTGATTGCCCGGACAGGTTACAGCGTCAAGTGTGAGTACACAGCGCACAAGGAAGGCGTCCTCAAGGAGGAGATGCTGCTAGCCTGTGAAGGTGGCACAGGCACCTGTGTGCGAGTGGTGGTGCAGGCCCGCGTCATGGGTGAGAGTGCAGGGCGTGCATCTGGCTAGGGGAGGGAAACGCGTTTGGTCAAAAGGGGATTCTGCCTCCCTCCTGTCTGAAAAAGGGATCCTTGCCATGGCTGGGGTTCCCCACCTCCTTGTTGAGTGTCTCCCCCCCCCCCCCCCAATAGAGCCCAGAGAGAAGGTGGAGGGGACCTCTTGGAATGGGTGGGGCCAATGGTCCAGCCTGGCATACTGACTTGAAGCCTACCTTGCAGACCGGCACCATGGCACACCCATGCTGCTGGATGGTGTCAAGTGCGTGGGTGCTGAGCTAGAATACGACTCGGAGCACAGCGACTGGCACGGCTTCGACTGAGGCCCACACCCCTGCCCACCTTGGGGCCCCTCAGCCTTAATCTCCACCTCATCTACCCAAATGCTGCATGATGGTGTGGCTTCCTCATCTGTCCCTAGGATGGGCATGGGGGTGGTGTGTCTAGGAGCCTCCAAGCTGGGGCCTTGCCCACGCCTCACCTCTGCCTTCATTCATGCCACCTCCCTGCCTCTCCTGTGTCTTCCTCTTCCCACTTCCTCCTCTCCATGTGCCTCAGTCTCCTGCGGGAAGAAATGGGTTGAGCCCCCAAGGAGGCTATCTGAGGAGGGGTGGGGGAGGGGGAGGACCTAGGGTGGGCTTTACCGATCCCTCCCCACTTGCAAGCCATAGGAGCTCCAGCCAGGGCCTGGAGAGGAGGGAGCTGGCTGTGATGTCGTCATTTCCATTACTGCTGCTGCTGTCTCATGTAAGCCGCCTCTCCTGCCTCCTCCCTCTCCCACTACTGTCTATGGTGAGTGGAGGGAGGTGCAGTTCCCAGCTCCTGCACCCAGGTGTGTGTCACTGGTTTTTAAACAATGGTTGGGATGAAATCCTAAAGAAATAAAACTTTCAGTGGATACCAGAGACCAGTGGAATGTTTGTTCTTCAGGGTCCTGAGAACGCCCACCCCTTAGACTCTGGGCCAAGGGAGTTCTACTCTTAGGAGGCAAGGGACTGTGTGGTATTACAGTGCCTAGTCCCCAAAGTGCTGTCTGCAGGTGATGGCATTTTAGGCCTGAGAACAGTTGCCAAGAGAGTTTGGATGTGGAGGGCCCTTCTGCCCAGGCCAGAGAGAGTTCTGTTTGGGATACTTGACAAGGAGACACCAGCATCCTCGTTTTGGTCAGTTCCCAGCCCCATGCACAGCTGAAAGCTTTCTCCCTTTTTTCTGGAACCCAGGCCCCCTCTACTACATAACGGGTTCCCTCTTGTGAGGTACCAGCATAAATGCTTTATTGTCACCTCGGGCAGGTAGGGCTGTTGCATGTCCTGGGCGGGCATAAGGGCACATTGAGTTGTCTGGCAGAGCTGAGACAGGCCTTAGTGTCCCCTTTGTCCTCCTAACGCCCCTCCCCCATTTTGTGGCTGGGATAGGGTTCAAGTGGGTCATTCACAGGTTGCCCTTGGAGCCTTCATCTGTCCCAAAGGAAAGCCCGCCCCCAGCATGCTTCCCACATTCCCTCACAAGTGCCTTCACCCTGTATGCTTCTCATTAGCCTGCTACTGCCCTTTCTACAATTAACAGTCATACCTGGGTGGTCAGCACCACCCCAGGAAGGCCCTACTACCCCTGTCCCTCTTGTGTCAGCTTCCAGTCATTTTCCTGTGGTACCAGGCTGCTCTGCCCCACTCCCTGTGTGGCTTGAGCCCACCAATCGGTGCATTGCGCCCAGTCCCAGCCAAGCCCCTTCCTCCTGCTGCCCCTCCGCTATGGGCCTTGCCTGGCCTCTACCTCCCAACTGCATCCACCCCCCACCCCCAGTTCTGGCCAGGATCCAGTCATCTGGAGCATTCTGCCTTCGGAGTCACGTGTTCCCTGTGGGTGTCCCAATCAAGCCTCCTTGACCCCAGTCCTTGGCAGAGCCCTTCAGCCTTACAGTCAGTCTGGGCCCAATCCCAAGGCCAGAGCCTCTGGATGTTTCTCCACCCACCCTCCTGCCACCTCACCACCC